GAATCACAATCCTGGTTATTTTTTGATATACAGCTTATTTAATACTTTTTTTAGGTTATGTCTTTTGCTATAAATTTAATTATAAAATTAATTAAAATAAGGTGAAAATAAGTTATTTTAATAAATTATATCGTACTTATTAAAATAAAAAAAAACTATGAGTAATATTTTTTTTTATGTAAATGATTCGTAGGATTTTCAAAACAGGCATCGAGTTTGGTCTCCAATATGATGAAGCATGCACTGCTAATATGAAAAATAGTAAATACGAATCTTTTATTAAAATAATATTTTAATATTTTAATTAATAAATAGTACAAATAACACCTAAAAAATAATATACAATATTTTTTCCTTTGTCTATATTTATTTCAAGTTTGATTCTCTGTCCATGCACAGATTTTTATACATACTGAGAATTGGGTGTAATGGAATAGAATCCTTTAATGTTAAACTTTTCGTTACATATTTTTATTATGTTAAACCTTGTGTTTATTTATTTTCTTTATAAACACTAAATAAGTATCATGTTATCAAAATTTATATTTAACAACAAACATTTTTTTACGAAATAGAGTTATTTGAAAATCCTTTGGAGTGTCAAAGCATAATTACTTGAAAATGAAAATGACTCTTTGGTATTTACTTCAGGGTGTCAAATGGATATAAAAAATAAATAAAAATGAACGAAAAATAAATACAATGAAGATTATGAGTGAAAATTATAAAAATTGATTTAAAAATCAAGGCCACACTATTGCTAAAATGCATGCTATAGTTTAAGTAAATATATAATAAAACGGTTTTGTTAATTAGGACCTTAATTGTATTAGTTAAGAAGTTTAAAAAACATTTTGTTCATTAAAAATGTGTAAAATTTAGTTATACTATTACTTAATCTGTATCATGACCAATTCAGGTTAACTTTAGGGCATTATTATGACACATTGGACTTTAATTCCTAAGTCTCACCCACTAGATTATCTTAATCTCACCTTACTTGTTTTATGTTTCAACTATGAAAAGTATATTAATTTCTATGTTATAGATGTCCATATAAATTTCATAAGATTTTCGTCCAATCAAGATGCACCCTTTTTCAATAATACAATTTAATTCCTATTAAAACTCTGTTAAAATGTTTTCTCAATCGAACCTTAGAGAGGTTAATATATTGGAATAGTTTCAACCATTTGAGGTTCATTAATGTAACATTAAACTTACTAATTCATGTTTTGAAAATATTGTTTAAAACATGAGAAATATTTTTTTAATTAAAAATTATATTAACTCTTCTATTTATTTTGAAAAAAATTGATTAATATTTACTTTATTTTTTACTTTTTAAAATGGTATTAGTCTTTAATTTCGAAATGTGAAATCTTCTTCTGTGACTTATTGACAGAAAACGAATAAGAAAGAATATAAAAGGAATAAGCTTTTTTTCTTTTGCCAGGAAAGTGGAAAAAAGTGGATTATGGAAAAGTCTTGATTATTTATGTTCATTGGATCACCTAACAATTATGTATACAGACATTCTACATGCACCTTTTTTTTAGGTATCGAAGAATACTTAAAATGTTGGTTTTATGGGTGCATGAAAGCTTTTATAAAATGATTTTTTAACGTGTATTGAAAAGTATATAATAAAAAATAACAAATAAGAATTTTTATCCAATACTATTAATATATTAAATCATGTTAATTTTAATAGAATTTTATCATATATAAATTTTAATTGTGCATTATTAGACACATGTTAAAAAATTGTTTATAAAATAGTAACAAAAAAAGACATAACACAGAGCTTTTGAAGGAGGGCCCTTTGAGCATCTTGAATGAATTGCTTTATAAATCAATTGGTGTCTTAATTGTTGAGAATCAAAGACAACTTTTGGTTGGCATGTGCAACAATACTCAAGTGCTACTCTCTCTTTTAAATCAAATTCCATGCTTTGATTAGAATCATTCTAAAAGTTTCTTTTTGTCATGTTAGTTTACTCATTGACTTTCTAATTAATTGCACACCATTAAAAGTTGCTTCAATATGATAGTGATGTCCTACAAAATCCCAAATTCTTTGCAAGTAGGCCTAATGAACTACCATGGCACACCAAATTCTGTGCTTCAAGAGGTTTTTTTTTTCTTTTCAAATCAATGTGAGGAGCTGTTCAATGGGTCATTCCCAAATAAAGGTGACCTAAAATGCAAGTAAAGTGGCTCCTTTGACAAAAAAGAGAACATACATAATGGGCCTTTTTAGGTCGACAAAGATGGGCCTTAACCATATTAGAAGGTTTTAATTAATTGTAAGTCAATGAGGCTGGCCCAACAACTGATCGTATCGGCCTTCTTTCGTGATCTTTTGTTGTACAAAGTAATGTGTTTGTAATCAGAGTAAAAAAGATATTCGTGACAACTTTTCTTTTTTTTAAATTTTTATTAGTACATAAAGATCTAACTAATTAGTAAAAGCAATAAAAAATAATAATAAAGATTTCAAACCAAATAGAGTCTGAGATTTGTAAAATTCACACAGCTACCATTTGAATATATTTATATAGCATTTGCAAAAATTATTATTATATATGCAAAAGTTGACTAAATTAAGTCGAGTGAGAAAATAAAAAGTGATGGAAAAGTTTTCTTTCGTCAAAAAAATTTACCAGATTCAAATTAAAATACTGAATTCATTGTAAACTTTCAATACTGAGATTCTTAAAAACAAAAACAATGATTGAATACGAGGAAAAGAGATGAAACTTTCTCAACATAAATAGCATTAGCACGTATGTCTAGTCCCTAAAAATGTAATAGCATCAGCATTTTTGTAATGAGTAAAGAAAAAATCAAGTTGGCTCAACTTCTTAGCTCGGTGGATTGGTTTCTCAGTTTGCTCATTTAATAAAAAATGAAAGATTTAAAAACAGATTAAAAGAAAAAGAACCTTAATTTTATCATAAAACAACGAATTACATCAACCTTTGTCCCAACGAAGAATTTCTCTATAAATTGAACATCACTGATAAATGAAGGATTTGTTTTACCGTTATGACAAAGATTGACAGAGAGATTTTTCTTTTTCTTGTGTACTTTTTGTAAATGTGTATTGAAAATCATGCTAACTTCGTTTTGTGTTTATCAAATGGGGTGATCCAAGCAGGCCTTTAATAATTGAGTAGATTGAACTGCACACATATGTATACTAAGTTCATCACGTTTATATAGCTTTTATTAAACAATTGAAATTAATTTGCCTCATTCTTTTGCACACTTATACTAAATTAATTTTAAATTTTACAATACATTTCAAACACGAGAGCTGATGTTTCTAAAAAAAGTGCATGTGAAAATTTTCTTAATTAGTAATTTTAAAAGGACAGCATGTGGTAGAATAAGATTAGCTAGGGTAGCATTTTAGCCATATAAAAGAGAATGAGAACAAGTGAAGTGCAATATTTTGGCACAAGATGTTGATGGCAATTTTGGCAGGGCACAAAGGATCAAAAGTCTAAAAGGGGGTGTTGGGTGGTTGTGTGGATTTGATAACTCACAACGTAGTTAAGAAGGAATAAAATGATAACAGTTGTGCTCCACTATGAAATGAAAGGAAATAACACAATTATAAATTATGAGCAAGTGTCGCGTCTTATCTTGCAATGCATGCATGGGGTGTGAGCAATTTGACAACGATGTGATTGTGAAGTTTTTTCCACTTATTCTTGTGTTTCTCTCTTTCTTTTTTCTTGGTATCTTTTTGAGTTTGAAATGTGTCGTATGCATGTGGTGAACCTTGATTGATTACCAATGGCTCTAAGTAGGGAGAAAGAAATAAGCACATTGGCAGTCAAAGGCTATGATTTGTGATGTTGCCCCTATTGCATGCCACCCGTTTCGGACTTTAATCCTACACTTCCATATAAACTTTTAGCTTAATCATTCAAATTAACCAAGTGGAATGAATTCCCAACAAGTCTTTCTCTTTCCTGTAACTAGAAAAAGTTTAGGGTGGACAAAACTTTTATTTCCTTATCAAAGTTACAAGCTGAGCTACTTCCATTAATTAACCACCTTCACATATTCAAATTTACTGAACCAGTCCAAGGAATGAAAGAAGACAAAACGTACGACATGTTTTTTTTTCTTAAATAGTTTAACATACCAAAGTTTAAAATTATTTGATAACACCCTTGTGAATAACAAAAATTTTAATGAAAGACCATACCGTAGATGTTCTTAGCTAGATTAGGAAGGCTTTGAGTTAACAGGATTAAATTGTTAAAACAATTCTCTGTTTTACATTGTAAACAACAACAAATAATAAATCTTTTAATACTTTATTTGAAAGTTAAAATTTTGGAGAAGAAAGAAGGGAAAGAAAAAATTTATTTGATAATAACTTTTATTCAAGAATTCTTAAACGTGAAAAAAAAAATTATCAACCTTCCAAAATTTTTGTAAACTCGTGTTTTAAAATTTTTTGATTAACTCTTTTTTTTTCTCCCTTCCCTATCCTTCTTCTCTCATGCCCCTTGAATTCTTTCTCAAAGAAAGACTAAAAAAAATAGTATATATAAAAAAGTTACTTACTTTCATTGGTGAGGTCATTGGCATGATGATGCTACTTGGTTGAACAACATATTTAAAATTTTTGGAACATTTAAAAAATATATAACCAACATTTTGTTATCTCGCTGATGCAACATTTCCATGTTTCGATGTGAACAATTCAAGGGAGAGTAAATTATTTTTATTCCGAAATATAAAATGTAGAAAAACATGATTATTCATAAGTTACTGATACTCCATTACTGCTATTAGGACAATTCAGAGACAGAGCAATTTATGTTGTCTCAAAGCTATGGGAGCATCGATTGAAGAGCGGGGAGAGTGATAATGAAGATGGTGGCAAGTGGGTCCTCCAATAGCATTAGTGTCAGTGGAGCAAGTTATATGCACTATAAATGGAAGCTGCATTGTCAAGCAAAGCAAACCCCTTATGTATCCCCCACCCAACACCAAAATAAAAGATCAGCAACCATAGAAAAAGTGGCATCCAAACAAACATGTAAATCATACTCTTCTCTGTTCATTTTCATGCTTCTTCCTTCATTTTTCACCTACTACCACATTGTCCTTAACCTCCACTTCCATTTCCATAAAGCAAGTCACTTCATTGCACTCCAAGGTTCTCCCTGTCCCTCTCTCTCTCTCTCTCTCTCTCTCTCTCTCCATGCTTGTGAGTGAATTCATGGTTGATCTATGATAAATCTTCCTCTACAAGTTAGTCTAGTTAGTATACATAGACAACCAAATTATAGGTGAGGAAACTCTCTTCATGTGTTTTTTTAACTTGAATCCTTTAAATGCTTCCTCTCTTTTCAGCTTTGCACTGCTTTTCAGCTTGCTCTATAACCAAATTTTTTGTTTTGGTTTTTTTTATGCATCCAAAAGGGAGCACGATTTGATGAACCAAAGACCAAAATTCTGTTTTCCTTGTGTTTCAAAACAAAGTTTCAAGGCGTAACACGGGCTAGAATGGACTCATTCAATCAGAGTTGTCAGAGTACAAGCTTCAGGTACAATCCAAATTTGAACACAAGGACCCATGCAGATGATGAGGCTGAATTCTCAGGGATTCTTGATGTCTTTGTTCATCATGCTAGGAATATTCATAACATATGCATCTATGACAACCAAGATGTGTATGCCAAATTCTCTCTTACTTACAACCCAGATGAGACTCTCTCTACAAGCATCATCAATGGAGGTGGCAAAAACCCAACATTCAATGAAAACTTGAGGATGAAGATCACCCAAACAGATGCTGTTCTTAAATGTGAAATTTGGATGTTTAGTAGGGCAAGAATTCACATGGAAGACCAGCTTTTGGGCTTTGCTTTGGTCCCAATTTCACAAATTGTTGGCAAAGGAAAGATCACTGAAGATTACAGCCTTTCCTCCACTGATCTTTTCCATTCTCCTGCTGGAACTGTCCAATTAACACTGTCCTTAGACCAATCTTTGGCAATCAATTCTGAATCAGCAAAGAACTCATCTATATCATCAGAAGTTATTTTGCTTGATAGAAAAATCTCTGAAGTTATGTTGGACCCAGTTGAGTATTCTAGAATTGAATTTCCTGACATAAGTGTGGTGAAGGAGAACCAGCAAATGGTTTCTGAATACTTCAATTTGGCTTCTCATGGTACTGCTTCAAGGTCCAATATTGGGGGGCTATTACCATTTCTTCACCTTGGTGCATCTCCTCCTCAACTTGATGACTGTGAGATGACTGTTAGTTCACCAGATGAGAATCATGTTGAGTCCATTTCTCCCAATGAGAGCATTCAAAACTCTTGCTTCCTAGGCTCTACTATCACAACCTTGAGTGATGATAGAAACTCAGCAGATTCAGTTGAGAAAAAGAATCATTTGGGGGGTGACTCATCAAATTCTGTCACTGTTTCAATCACTGTTGAAGGTAGCCAAAACATTGGTGCCTGTCCAGATACACCAACATCCAAGAAAGAAGAAAGTGGAACTAAAGATGACAAAGAAGCAAAATTCTCAAGCAAGGAAAAGGAAAACAAAAATGATAGGAACATTGACACATCAACATTTGGTCAAGTTTTTTCGGCTCCATTAGGGAACATCAATCTTGAGGCTGAGCAATCTGCTATGCAAAAACAAATAGTGGACATGTACATGAGGAGCATGCAACAATTCACTGAGTCCTTGGCAAAAATGAAGCTCCCTATGGACCTTAACAAACCTGAAAAAGAAGATCATGGTGATGTGATTCAAAATCATGACAACAGCAAAATAGAAATTGATAAGAAGAAAAAGGATGGATCACGTGTGTTTTATGGTAGTAGGGCATTCTTCTGATCACCTCTTGATGCTGAAGATAGCAAGAAATGAGTTGATGAGAGTTTCATTAATATAACATTATCAGGTACCTCAATTTCTTCAGTGATTTTTATTACAGATTTTAGTTAATATTACTCCTGGTTTGTTTGACTTTGATGACAATAATCTTATATTTTAGATGTGCTTTTCTATGATGTTTTACTTAATGGCTGTGTAACAGGTTTTTTCTACAATATAACCATTCCAAAGTTTTTCGTCAATTTATTGTATCCATTATAATAACAAGTTATGTTTATGTGCTAAGAAAGAGGCAACTCTTATTGTAAACTATCAAAGCTGTTTTTGTGCACTTTAATTAAATTGCAAGAAAGCAGTGTTATGCTGCAGAGAACTTGAGAGTTTAAACTAGATTCATCTCTCTACTTCAATGTGATAACATATTTTCCTCTGAAAAATAAAAGGTGTCATGTCATTATCAAAGGCTTAGAAATCTTTACCGAATTTTGTTGATTACATTGTAATTCTGGTGGATGGTGGGGCAGATTCACCAATTTTGTCAACAAAATATATGGAGGGCATCAAGAAAATACAGAAATAAATGCACTTAATCAGGGGAGACAAGAAAATCTAATTATGAGTAATCCAAAATCCATGCCCATGTTGGTCTCGTTAGAGAATTGCTTATTGCAAAATCCATCACAATGGTCTATATAACTACATATAAATTTAAGTGAAAAATAATTAGTGAGATTTAGGTAAGTAACCATAATCAAACCTAGTCACATCATCAATCATACATAATTTGTTTTTTAGCTAGAATAATTGTTCATTATTTGTGTTGAGATAATGGTTAGTAGTGTTAACTAAGGAAGAAATATTATATTCGTGTGTGCTAAGGACAGAAAAGGACACACCCCAATTTTGTTAGAACAAGCAAACAAAACCAATGGCCTTGAAACTGGCCCATACGAAATTGTTAATGTTGACTATGAATTCTTTGCTTTAATTTTACATTTTGTCCTCTTAATTAGGACCATTTTCACAGAGGTTTGCTTTGCAATATAGTAAACCTTTTATAACTATCAAGTGAAGGAAAAATATGTCTGGTTTCTGACAAGTGATGGACAGTGCTGAACCAACCATTTGCTAGAATAAGAACATTTTGTTCAGTTTCATTATTTAAATATCGAATAATTAATATTATATATTGATCTTTATTTTTTTATTAATTTTTACACATCTCGAAAATATTTTCAAAATTAAAAGAAAAAATAAATATTGTCTTCCTTTCACACTACCCGTTAACACAATAGCTTCAAGTTAAGAAAAATTTACAGAAAGTAAAATCATTACTTTATATAAATAACAGTGAGTTTTTTGTAGTTATTTTTTTGGACAAAATTAAAATTTAGTTCATTAAATATTTTTGGTGTTATTTTTAATTAAAATCACATTTTCATCTCTAAAATTAATATCAACTTTTATTTCATCAATTATTAAAATAAAATTCTAACTTTGGTCAATTAAATAAAAAATAACGTGAGAGAGCAAGGGTTGGGGTCTGGGAATGTGATACCTGTTTTTAATTTATTTTAGTATTTTAAATTTAGGATTAGTTGAGTGCGTGTAGAAAACCCAATATCAGATTTTTTTAATCTTTTAATTTAGTTTTAGTTATATTTATTTTAAGTTTAATTGAAACTCTTAAAATTTTAAATAATTTTATACCTTTTAATTATTTCAAATTATTTTTTTAAAATTTAATTTATTTGAACTTTTTAATTTATTATTAAATATTTATAGGAAATCTGAAAATATATTTGTGAAAATTATTGGAATTTTTTATATTAATATGTTTTCCTGAAAAAATATATGTGAAAATATTTAGCAAAACTATCGTATAAAACATCAAAACTTTTCCTGCAAATTTTTACCTATAAGAAAATTCAAAGTTTCGTACAACTTGTTTTTCAAATTTAATTTTAATATAGTTACTATTAATTAATTATAAAACATGATAAATATAAATTTTAAATTAACTATTATATGAGTTAATAAATTTTCAATTATGTGATTAGATTAATATATTTTAATCAATATTTGTAGACATGAGAATGTCACAGTTAAAAAATTTTAAAAAGATTCTGAAAAAAATAATTACATGTAAAAGTTTAAATATATTATGATAGATTGAATGCAGGCAACCCAACATTTAAGGTAGATAGATTACGATATCATATTCGAAACTTAGGCATAAGTTTATTCAAGTCTTATAAAAAGTATTCAAACCCTATTCATAATTAATATATGGTATGTAAAATTTGTAAGACTATACATTTATTTATGACCCAACATTCAATTTAAATAAGTTTTAATACTATAGTGGAAAACTAGGTTTTAATTCACTTCAAAATGTATCCTTATAAAAAAAAAGTTTATTCAAATTTTATAAAAAAGGATTTTAATTCTCTTTTTAATCAACGTGAGATATTATTACTAATAATATAATTATTAAAAATTGAAATTTTATTTAATCTAATTTTAAATCATTTTTAATATTTTCATTTTATTAATATTTTCATTTTATTGTTACCTTATATTTAAATGCTTTTCCATTTTATGAACGGAACAAAATAAGTAAGAAATAATTATAGGGAGGAGGAAACGGATGAAAACGTTCCTTTTCATCTTATTTGGAAGATAACGAGAGAGCAACATAAAAATTTATTATCTTTGTTTAGAGGTTTAATTAATAAAAAAAAATAGACAAAATTACTTTGAATTCTATTATAATTTTAATAGGAAACTCTTAACTTTATTCATTTAAACCTTCCCACGTTGCTATACTATGTTTTTCAAATATTTTAATCATCAAATTAGTATATAAAAAATAGTCATAAAACTCACTTTTACTATCAAATTGCTTAATTAGGTAATGGGTCTTTGATTGATCAGGTTGTTCAAAATGGCATACGCTAAAGTTGAATAGATATAAATCGGTACTAAGTCAATAATATGCAAAATTCATTAACAAAGTATGATGTGACTAAATAATTTGTACTATTTTTAGCATTTTTTATATATATAAAAAATATATTATTAGAGAGAATTCAAGAAAAACTCAAAAATTATATAAAAAAAAATCAATACTTATATAGAAAAATAAAAAGACAAAAACACACTTATATTAAATTAAAGCGGATGTAATTTTGTATGTTCAAATATCTAAACCCTAACAAAATAGTTTTTCCTAGTAGAATCTAAATTTTTTTTTTTTTTTATCTAAAATATTATTAAAAAATATTATTCTATTTCTATGTAATCACAAAGAGTACATTGTACTTATCTAAATAATTAATAAACATATTCATTCTCTTTTACTATAATCAATATCAATCTAAGTAAGCAAGTGAGTCGATAAATATTAAGATAAAATTATCAAAAATTCAAGTTAACGCATAGTAAAATATTAATTTTAAAATAAAATTGAGCACTATTTTTAGTATTATGTTTATTACAAACTAAAAACACACAATTTAGCTAGTAACTTATTAGTTGCACCAGTGACTCGCCCAAGATAATAATCTTAATTACTATACATTAATGGTAAAAAATTTTAATTTGTGTTTTCTAAATTATCTGAGAAAAGGCGTAATGTAAATTAATCTAAAAGTACTTTTAATTATAACTTAGCAAAAATAAATAAAGATCATCAAATTAAAATCTTTACAGCAATGTGTTTAAGAATAAAAACTAACCTAAAAAAGAAGAAAACGGTTTTAGTATATAAGAGAAAAAAAAAGTAAGAATATATTTATTATATATAACTGACTTTTAAATTAAAAATAAATAAGACTTATTTTCTCCTTTTACACCTCTCATTGCTTTAGAAGAGTCAAATTTTATCTTAAGGATTGCATTTTAGAATTTTAAAAAATAATAATTGTTTATATTATTCTTTATAAGAAATCGTATACAGATGAAAAAAAAAAACATTAACGATTATATTATATTTGTTGATATAATGTTTATCTACTAAAAATAATTAATTAATATAGATAGTGTATTTATACTTAACTGTATAATGTGACGTTGGTATATCTGTATATTTAAACAAGTCAAGTCAATTTTTATTTTATTTTATTTTATTTTGTTAGCTTATTTTACGTATTTTATTAAGTAATTTGTACTATCACCTCAATCTTTACTCAGTTTAACACTTACGCATTACGCCAAAAATGATATAAGAGAGCGATTCCGTTTTAAACTAGAGAGCGTTTAAAACTACTCTAAAATCTCGTGCTATCCAATATATTATATTTAGGAGAACGGTTAAATAATCGTTCTCAAATGTTAAGATTAAAGAGCAGTTCTGCGTGGAACCGCTCTTCAAAATATGAATTTAAACCGCGAATCTGAAATTTGAAATTTATTTATTTTTGAATTTTCTGTAGCAAACTAAAATTAATTTATTGTTACGTTTAAATTTTAATTTACAAGTCTGACAATCAAAATTTCTTCATTTTTATCACAAATCAGAATTGAATCTTGAGTTCATACGCTATGTTAATCAAACAGCCATATCTGCACGAATCAAACAGTAAACAGAGAAAAAGAGAACAAATTAATAAGATAATTCACCGTTAATAAAGAGAAAATGAAAGAAAGAAAGAATGAATGATTTACCGTTAATAAAGAGAAAAAAGAAATAAAGAAAGAATGGGAAGAACTGTGCAAAAAGTACCTACAAATGTGAACGAATAACTGTGAAAACATAGAAGATGAAGAGAATCTACAAACGTGAAAGAGAACAAATATACCAATTTTGTTAATGCATAAAAGATGAAAAGAATTTACAGAGATAAAAGAGACCAACTTTGTTAAAAAGACAAAGAGATTCATGAGTTGATCGTGTTTCATTTATAAAAGTTAAAGACTTCATTAAACGCTCTCCAAGAACGATTTTAGAGAGCGATTCTTTATTAATCGCTCTTTAATATATGACTTTAGACAGCAGTTAATAGAGAACCGCTCTCAGAAATATAGATCTGAGAGCAATTTAACGTTAATCGTTTTCTAAATGTATTGTTACAAAACAATTTTTACTAATCGCTATCTAAGTTAGCGCTTCAAAAGCTTATTTCTGGTGTAGTGACGTTCTTGAAATAGTAAGTAAAATATTAATTTTAAGATAAAATTAAGCATTTTTTTTAGTATTATGTTTATTACAAACTAAAAACACATTCAATTTAGCTAGTAACTTGTTAGTTGGACCAGTGACTCATCCAAAATAATAATCTTAATTAGTATACATTAATGGAAAAACTTTTAAATTTTTTTTTTTAAATTATCTGAGGAACAGCGTAATATAAATTAATCTAAAATTACTTTTAATTATAACTTAGCAAAAATAAATAAAGATCATCAAATTAAAATCTTTACATCAATGTGTTTAAGAATAAAAACTAACCTAAAAAAGAAGAAAACGGTTTTAGTTAAGAGGAAAAAAAAAGTAAGCATATATTTATTATATATAACTGACTTTTAAATTAAAGATAAATAAGACTTATTTTTTCATTTTACACCTCTCACCTCTTTAAAAGAGTGAAATTTTATCTTAAGGATTGCATTTTAGAATTTTTAAAAAAAAATAATTTTTTATATTATTCTTTATAAGAAATCATATACAAATGGAAAAAAAAAACATTAACAATTATAATTATATTTGTTGATATAATGTTTATCTAATAAAATTAATTAATTAATATAAATAGTGTATTTATACTAACTGTATAATGTGACGTGACGGTGGTATATCTCTACATTTAAATAGGTCAAGTCAATTTTTAATTTTATTTTATTTTGTTAGCTTATGTTACACATTTTATTAAGTAATTTGTACTATCACTTCCATCTTTATTCAGTTTAACACTTACGTTCTTGAAATAGTAAGTAATGCAAGATAAAGGAACATGTTTTTTATTAATTTTTATTTATTTATTTTTATCTTTTTTATCACAATATTTATTATTTTTGCTGATTTCCTTTTTTTAATGTATCTATTTGACACCTCAAAACGGAACATTAAAGAATAATTTATAAATTTAAATTGGAATGCGTTACTTTTAACAGTTTTGTTATCTTCAACATTAAGAGATAAGCTCAAGTATTTAAAAATAATGTTTTTTTTATTAGAAAAGTATTTATTATATTAAAAATATAAAAATGTTACATTACTTTAAATAAAAAAGTATTATCTTTTATATTTAAACTTAACTTTAAAATATAAAATTAACAAAATCGTAATTTTAAATGCTATCACATCTTATGGTTGACCTCCTCTATCCTCTTAGCTGTTTCAAGTCTCCTTAATCCGTTGCTAATAATCTCGACTCTGAAGATCACTGCCAAACAGTCCCTTGTTTAAATTGAGTGGGGCATGCATGAAACCCCACTGTTTATACTACCATTGATGAATGATTAGAGTTAATGAGGATAATTAAGGATTATGTATTAAACCGTTCCTAATATCAATTCTGTAACGGGTTTGTCATTCAACCTAAGTGGGGTGGCCTATGCATGTATGCATTTAAAAGTAAAATATTATTAGGAAATGCATGAAAGACAAATTCTTCTAACAACCCCTTTCTTCTTAATCATAGCATTTCATATCTCTAGATTTGAATTTTAGCCTTATATATCATCGTCCATTGGATCACACCTAAGCCATTTTTGTAACGTTGGGAACTTAAAACAGTCAACAAAAGCATCAAATTTTTTTATTTTTTATTTTTAAATACATAACGTAGAATCAGTGTTTTCTCACTGTGATCTTGTTGACCATGTTGAAAAAATTAAGTAGTGGTTAGCTTTTATTTAATTTAATCTTTATTCATTTTCAACTTAATTGTTTTTAGATAAAGTGTAATTTATCCTCTTATAATTTTATGTTTTTTCATGTTATCTCTCGTACTTTCTTTTTTTTTGTATAACTAAACCTCTTATACAAGCATTTTTCCTTACTTTCAATTTGCTTTGATTTAGCTACAATTTTAGGCATATAAACCATGGTTTTAACTGTGATTATAACATCTTTTAATTTGATCCAAATTGTAAGAGGTTTGCTAATTAAAAAATATATATAATTTGAATTAAGAAAATGTAAAATTATGAGAGTAAACCGTAATTTTGCCTCTTCTTTATTATTACCTTATATATAAATATTTTTAATCAATTAAATATAACTGAACAAGAAAGAAATAATTAAAAATTGTAAAGAAAATGAATGAAATAAATGTTGTCAGTGCATTGTTTGAAGAGTTTAAATTTAGTGTATCCTTTTGTAAACAAATTTATAATATTAATCAATTAAAATATTGGGAACACATATTACAAACCCAAAAATGTTTAGCAGTGCATTTTTTTTTAAAAAAAATCTAAAAATGTTTTAATAACACATATTAGAAAAGAAAAAACCTTAATTAAAACTAAAGATTAATTGGAAGAAAAATATTTGTCATATTTTCAATTACCATAAGTTTTATTTTTTTTTACTTAAGCGGTGAAATATATTTTTATATTAATTCATATAATTATGATATAAACATAAAAAAAAAAATCACAATTTATTACAAGAGAGAAGAAAAAATAGAAATGCCTTAACTCATATTCAATAGAACACAAAGCCGTGAAACATTAACCCATTAAAAAAAAAGGAAGAGAATTGCACATCTAACTTGAATCTTCAGCTGATAGACCCCACTCATCCATCTTTGAAACTTTTCTATAAATTGGCCCTCAATCTAAACAAAGTTCTCACACACTACTTAGTGTTATTCCATAACTCACTCTCATATCCCTTCCAACAATGGCTGACAATGCTCCTCCACCATCTCTTTCCCCATCATCTGAGAAAGGATCCTCAAGCCAAAGCCCAAGGAGCTTTGCCACCCTTTCTAGTGGCTCCCCTATCATTGTCGGTGCTAATAGAAGTTACATGCCTATCACTCTTAACAACAACAAACCATTATCATTGTTATCACCATCACCACTATCACCCTCACCTGCACCTGGTGTATTTGGTGTCCTACCTCGTGAACCTGTCCAACAAGTGCAACCACAAGCCATGGTTGCACCTGTCAAAAGACGAAGAGGGAGGCCACCTGGCTCCAAAAATAAGTCTAAGGTGCCGATGATTATTTTCAAGGACACCGACCACCTTCTTAAACCAACTGTCATTGAAGTTCCAGATGGTACCGACGTGATAGATGCCATCATCAACTTTGCTCACAGCCACCATTTTAGTGTCTCAGTGCTTAGTGTTTCGGGTTCAATCTCCGAAGCCACCCTTCGTTACCCTTTCTCTCATGCCCCCACCATATCCGTTCGTGGAAAATCACCCATAGTGTCTCTCTCTGGCACTTACATAAACACCCTTTTACCTTCACAAGCCCCCATATTTACTCATTCCTCCTTCGCAATCCAAATAGCGGATAGCAACACCAACAAAATCTATGGTGGCCTTGTTGGAGGGAGGGTTATTGCTGCAGGTCCTGTTGTGGTCTTGCTTTCCAAGTTCAAGAAGCATGAGTATCATAGGTTGAACTCTAGTGCAAATGTTCATCTTTCAGCTCCTAAGAATGGTGATTTCATCACTAACAACAACGCTAACGCTAATGTGTCTACCTTTAGTGTTGCTACTCCTGTTGTTCCTGATTCCAAATTCATGCAGTGGAAAAAACATGATAGTAATTACTAAGAAAGGATCACAAAGATTCATATTAGTGACTTTCAGTGTATTGAATAATAATGATATAATGGCTTTTCATGCTTTCATTTATAATTTTTACCATCTCTTTTAATTTATTTTCCCTGTATCCATGTGCCTTTTCAGACAAAGAGTAATCAAACAAGATATTTTCAATTTGATTCAAGAGAAGTGTTAAGAATAAATTTTTCTTTAACACACAGTGTTATTGAAATGAATTGAAAGTTATGAAATTATGATTGGAGTTGATTAAAATAACAATAAAATTCACATAATTTTATATGATTTTTAATAAATTTTAAATAATAATAAAAAATGTATCATTTCTTGTAGATGTTCTTATTTGCATGAAGCTTTTAGAGTTGATAGAAAAGGGACCTTAGGTGCTGCTGGTGGGCCTGTGGAGTTTATTGTTAAATTTATAATATAAGTCATTATTTAAAAATAGTTTATTGAATAAGCGTTTAAATTTATGGTATAATTTTAAACTTCCTATTTTTTATATTTATAAATTCTCTTAATTACTAAATAAAGAATGTATTAAATATTTTTTATATAAATATTTACTCAAGGTTCTTTAACAAATCATTACAATCTTGTGGTAAAGTTAAAAATGTTTTAAATTAAAACTTCAATTATGAGTATCAGTTAATTTAATTTTTAAAATTATAAAAATAATTTTTGTGTGTTTAAAATTATTAAATCTTTATTTTACTGTGTAATGTTACAAAACAATTAACCAAACGATATTTTAAACGGAAAATTAACAGTTAAAATAAACACTCACAAATTGTAAAGCACATTATACGATTATATATATATATATATATATATATATATATATGAAACTGATTATCACAAGTTTCTAAGTACCTTTTTCTAAAATTTTGGTGAAGTTTTACCATGATAACAAAGTTCTTATTGGTTGAAAAATTGTATTAAAATTTATGAAGAGAGATGTATTATTATATTTTATAACAAAAAAAAAACATATTTTAAACTTTTTAACTAATATTTTTAAAATACTGATTAGCATTTGCCATTGAAAAAAACTTCCTTCTTAAAAACCTTAGTGAATGTGTATAAAAATGTGTGCCAACGAAGCTTATAACAGGAAACAATTATAAGCCTTCATTTGAGGTTGAAAGTCAACGTCGAGGATTTTTGGTTTGTAAAACTACATTGTGATTGCATCAGGCACACTTGTTTATAATGGCAAGATTTTCAGGGAATCCCAACCAAAATTAAAAATCTTGGTGCCTTCAAATTATAAAATATGGTTTTCTTGTCAATCACCCTTATGGTAATGGTTAAAAATTAATAAATGATTTGCATTAAAAATTAGGATAAAAATGTACTTCTTTTATGCTTTTAGCATTATAATAATTTTATCTTATTCATTTTTTATTTTCATTATGTAAAATTAATAAAAAGTAATAATATTTTTAATTATTTTATCTTTAATAATTAATATTTGTTATAGATAAAATATATATTATTAAAAAGAATTCAACGAGAACTCAAAACCTATATATATAAAGAAAAAAATTAATACTTACTTAGAAAAATAAAAAATAGAAATATACTTATGCAAATGAGTTCAGATACTAATTAACTAACAAAATAATTTCTTTCTTAATAATTAATACTTGTTTAGTAGAAGATGTAATAAATAAGTTAGAAATTAATGAATATAAATGAGGTGTATAATAAATGTTAGTTAATTTTGTTTATAAAATTTAAACTGCTAATTATTTAATTCTTATACAAAACTTTAACATAAAAAAATTAAAATAATTTTAATAACATCAAATATTGTATATATATATATATTTATTTATTTTTCATCTAATCATTATAAATATAATAACTAAAATTATTGACATTTAATAATTTATGAAACTAAGTGATATTTTTATAATTTTTTAAACTAAATTGATTTATATTCTAACAACTTAAGCATGCACTGCATTTTTTTTTTAAAATTCTACAAGCAAGGATATTCGGGTTGCAACAATGAAAACTAAATTCTTTCTTTGAAATTAAAAGGATGCATCCTATATGGAGACTATGCATTTAGGGAAATTATATATTTTAAAAAAATTGGTCAATATTTATCGATCATAACAATTCTTAGACTATGTTTGAATTAATAATAGTATAAAATAGAGCAGAATAAATTATATTAAATATATTATTTAAATTATTTTAAGATATGATAAATAAATCAGAATTGGGTAAAATGCATTCCATTTCATTGATATTCCTTTTTCTTCTTGCAATTTGAGAGTATGGGATGAATTCTTTTTCTTGGTTCCATCATAATTATCCCAATAAATAGAATGATATAATTTAACTTTTTTCAACTCCACTTTAGTTATTTCTATTCTAATCTCTTTCATTTCATTATAATCATATGAGCTATACAAAATATTGGTATGTTTTACCCATAATATAGATGTTTAAATCTTTCAGTCATCAATCTGAAGAAAAGCAAGTTTACTTGGCCATCACTCCTTATATTGAGACTAGTTTATAGAGATACTAGTCAAAAACTAAAAGATAACACACCTTAATCACAATGAGGCTGTCATTAGATGAATATAGATTACACCAATAGTTGAAATTGATATTTTTTTATCAGTGACCAGAATAAATATGAATATTTTTATCCATCACATATGAAACGGGCACAAATAATTTAATCTATAAAACAAAAAATAATAATTTCATGTTAATTTTAATTTTATTTATAAAAAACAACTATTAATTGCTGAATTTTTTATTTTACAAAATACTCATATTTTACTCATACAATAGTAGACCCATCTTTTCATTTAATAGGTAAGACATTAATTAATATTATGAATATATTTATGATACTGAATATTTCTTTTATAAATATGATTAAAAATTATTTAAAGACTCAATTGAATTATTTAAGTCAACTTTCCAACTATCTAACCTAGCTCATAAAATATAGAGTAATGTTGTAAGTTTGATTAAGGATGATTCGGTTAATTAACTGTTATATTATTTATAATAAATTATTATTAAAAATTTAAATAAATATTAAAGAATTAAATATTTTGTATAAACTTTATATAATAAATATTTTTATTTTAAATCAAAATTTATTTTTAACTTCTTAACGTATGTTATTAGATATGTATTAAAAAAATCATATTTTTATACTTTTATATATTATGAAATTTATATTAATGAGTTACTCATTTATTATTTATATAATACATAAATTCATACGCACATAGATTTAAATATTTAATATAAAAATAATAATTTAATAAATTAATATTACAAATAATTTTAAAATAAAGTATGAATTTAAGATATTTTTTTTATTTATTATTAATTTAAATGAATTAAATATTATTTTTTAATAAATATACAAAGTATAATATTTTTAAATTTTATAATAAATAAGAATAATAATTGTAACTTCTAATATCATCAAATCCATTTTAATATATAATTAATAATAAATATTTCTTTAATAACTGAAATTTTAATTTTTTTTATAAATTTTAAATGTAATAAAATATTTATTATTAATAATTATAATATTAATTATTATAAGTAATTATATTATCTTTTATTTTCATTTTTAAATAATTTAATTCAATAATATTCCTACAAGTTTTTACTATTTTCCTTAAATATCAAGTAAGACAAGATGTAATTGGTTTTTTTTTATCGCATTATTTAATTTTAAAGGAGCTAATAAATATATAAAATAGATTGTTAATAACACCTAGGTCTCTTTAAACATATTTTAAAAAAATATGATTATTTTTTAAAAATAAAAATAAATAATTTTAATAAAAATTAATTACTATAAAAAATCATGTTAAAGAATATTATTAAAAAAATTAGTTGTTAGCTCTGAAACGTGTGCTCTGTAAAAGGATGATATCAGCTAGTATCGCGCCGCACAGGCGGCCATTAATTAATTAAAAAATATACATTATATTCAAATTTTTAATTAAATAAAAAAATTTAATATAATATGTTGTTTAAAAATATAATTAATATATTTTAAAAAATATCGTGATTTTTATAAAAGTAATTGAAAGTATTTAATATGATATTTTAAATTTTCAACTAATATTTTTAGAGGACTTATTAGTATCATTAATCTTTTAATGTAATTAATATTTTTCTTTACATTAACTTTTTTGTCTTTAATTGGTATCTTACTAAATACTAAATGAAAAATATAATGAATCACAATATTTGGAAAATTGAAATAAATGATAGAAGCATTTAATATTTTATGTAATTTGTAATATTTATTTATAATTTATAATAAATAATATCAAATACATGTTAGTAATTAAAAAAAAATCTTAAATAATTTTCTTTAAAAACTATCAATTTATATATAATATTAAATTCCATGTCGATAGGTGTTGCATGGCAATTGCTGAATTTTTTTTTTTGCATTTAATTTTATTACTTGACTTATATTACTTTTATTAACTCTGTTGATATATTTATGTATTTTTTATTTTATTATCTTGCAAATTTTAGCAATTTTTTAAAAAAAGCTAATAAATGTTAAATAAATATTATATATATTAATCCAAAACATGATATGCTTTTAAGGTTTAAACATGTTATTTTGATTCGTATATGAAGTTCGTGCTCTTTATTTAACCCATATTTTTGAATCTCTTTTAAAATAGTTTTCGATGTTAAATTTTGTTATAATATCATCTCAAATTTATGTTTTCATTTTAATTTTTATATAATATATGTTTTATCTATTTATTATAAATAATATTTAAATTTTAATTTTTATGTGAAAGTTTATAGAAACTAAAATAAAAAAAACATTTTTAAATATGAAATAATGAAATTATAATAAAATATAATAGTGAGGATTATTTTAATTTTTTTTTATTCAACTTGTGTATAAACTTTGTGAGTATATAAACGAAGTAAAAAATATATAAAAGTAAAGTGAATAT